GCACATTGCTTTGTTAAGAACAGTGGAAAGTGTTTTTGATCTAATCAGACAATATTTGAGAAGAATGTGACTTTTTTAGCCATGTACAGCCTGGAGAAACGATGCCTATCACAGGGGGAGCTGTCCAATCAAAGTGCTGCCGATAGCATATCGCGCGATGCACTCACGGTTGGATGCCATGAGGCATACGATGGCCTTGTTGTATATTGCATTTGTCAAGGTGATCACTGTAACAAATCACCAATTACACTGCAGTTACAGGACGATCCAAAATATACTACGAGGTACCACACCACTTCTGTTCGATGTTTGATGTGTTATGTTGAAGTGGATCACTACAATACCATCTGTTCATTGTTAATATGCGAAAACTTAAAGAACTCTGACTCCTCAATATCTCTTTTATCGGATGTCTTCTGATTTGTGAATTTCAGTGATCACGACTCAGAATTGGTGGCGTTGAACCCAGGTATTTCATTGCAAAATATGCTCGGTGAATCTGACGGTGACGATGGGATGACTGCAAGCTCCAGTGTTGCGTCTGTCAGTTGTTGACTGAGATTTGTAAAAAAGTTTTTATGCTCGAATCGCATTCCAAAATCTGAATAATCGCTAAACCCTGTAACTTTGTTCATCGCTATCACCTGTTGATATTTTGCTAGTTATCAAACTCAATTTCTGAATATTGATAATTCAAAGTGTCAGCTTTCAAAAGTTGCAAATTGACCATCATTCATAAGAAATAATTCATGGACGAAACAAAATCAACTGATTGTGAGTAATGGTTCAGAAATGGCAACAGAATTCCTGGCCAAACGCAAGGGCAACCGCAAATCTGTCAAATGCATCAGCTAGCAGTGGTGAAGTATTATCAGGAACACAAAACCAGCAAACTCAACGCATGAACTCATTAAGTGTTCCTGTTGAACATTTCAGACGGTATTCAATTGTTACTCCGTTCACGCATTTCAATTCAAATTTTGAATTCTCAAAATCCCATCTATCATCATTCAGAATGTGAAATCACAGCAATCATCAAAATATCTGCTGACAGTCGAAATAATTTGAACATTTGGATACTTTGGATACTGAACTAACTGTTTTATGAATATCAATTAGTCAACAATTGAGTTTAAGTATTCATGGACTCTCCCTCAATTTCACTCAATACAAAATGGACTCTTTTGATTTTACGGTGATCAAAAATTATTTGATTATTCGGTAGAGTTTGCTTGTGATCAATTATGTATTGTTGTTGCTGTTGCTGGCGTTGCAGTGTTTAAGTTGAAGTTGATGTACTTTTGACTTATTATTCATCAGTGCCAACCTCATTCCAATAAGTTGAAAGCGAATGGAAGTTATTTTTGGAGTTAGTGCAACAATATTCACACAGACCAAAGACCCTGCTCAAGCATGCAAGAAGCTAAGAACTGGTTGTGAACTTTTGGTAAATCAGAAAATCAACTGCACAACAGTTAACTTTTGATCACTGATTCTTTCTTTTCTGTGCGCTATACGCCAGAAAACTTTCATAGAAGTCAAATGATATGACCGTAGTTGTTCTTGTGTCCAATTGTGGTGTTTGAATTGCGAAACGTTGCAAGATTGGAATGCTGCAGTGGATTTCAGCTAACGAGCAAAATGCACAATGACTAATTGTGATCAACAACTCGGTTCTGTTTGAGTGAAACACTGAAAAACTCAGTTAGAGATATAGCAGCCTTGTAGCAATGACTTTAAAGAATGCCTGATGTTTGCCTGATTAAAAGTGAAAAAGTGGAGAGAATCAAGAATAGCATTAAGAATGTGCAACAGAGTTTTTGTGGAATTATCCACTTGTGCAAACTGTCTTCTTTCGATGCAATGCAACAGTTTACTCAGCGCAGAAATGTTTCAGAAAGGATCCCGAACAACGACAACTTGAGGCACTACCTAAGCAACAAAAAGAGCAGCAACAATCGTCAAGACGTCAGGAAAATAACTGGTTAAGTACTGACGCTAACGAAGATAATGATGAACTGCTATCATTGTCATCAAGCGCCAGTTCAACTCGTCCGATCCATCAAACTAGTGTCATCACTGTCATTGATACGAATTCTATTATTTCATCGCTTCTTCACACTGCATTTGTTATTTTCTTGTTTTCTGCTTACATTTATTAGATGCAATGATTTGATGATTGATCTTGTGGAGCAGCTTGCTGGATCTTTGTTTTAAATCCCCACATTTAACGGGGAGATTCGTCGTCTCACAAGTGAATTTTGCCGGTAGGAGATCGCTTTACAGCTACATCTGTTATTTTGATGTCATCTGCGATAGGAATGTCAGATTTTGATATCGTAACCAATTGAATGAATTTGATGCACTCTCAGCAGATTTCACCTTCCCTGATCCATAATTCCTCTTGGTCTCTTGATAAAGAGTGATTGAAATCAATTGCTGAGAAACGTTGCTGTGATCAATTGCTAACAGCTTTGGGAAAGCATGAAAGAGGCATACAAATTCAGCATTTTTACTCCTTTGAAGAGTGCATTTGCATGAGTGATCAGAACGTACCGTATCACTACCGTGTCCTCGTTTGTCAAATTCTTTCGCATGCGCATTCCCTTAAGTAAATGATTGCCTAAATGGCGACATATATAAGGGAATGTCAGTTGTTCGGTGTTTACAGTTCCATTTGTTTTTCGTGATCACTTCACTTCACGGTTGTTATGATTAATGCAATCGAATTTCATGTTTCACGTTTCTCATGGAAAATTCTATTTTTTTTTGATTTTACAATGGTGGTGTAACTGATCCATATGCATCTCTCAGCACTCGAATTACGATTCCTTCAGATTATGTAACTGATCCATGCGTCGCTCAGATGAATTCCGACTAGATCGTTTAATTTAAGATTTAATTTCGGATTATCGAAACTCTTTAATTTCGGATTATCGAAACTCTTAAAAAGTTTCCTTGCGGTGAATTTTCTTGAGAATTCATTTTTGCATTCAAATTGTTCCTTTCGTTTTCATTTTACCGAAATTTTGATTGTCACCAAAATTTTTATCGTCATTTGATTGTCCGTCATTGCATTGATCATTATTGTTATACTCATTGACTGTAATGATATCACTGCTGCCACGTAATACTTTATATATTACTAATAATGTTACTCATTGTACTAATTATGTTACCAGTCGTGCTGTACGTTGTTCATAAAGTACTAATAAAGATTTCAGTCAGTTGAAATTCGTTTAGAAATTTTCGTTTGAAGTTGTTTATTCTTCGATATCATTTACTTATAGCACTTGTTACTTATTAGGTACTGACATAGGTGTCGCCAGTGCAATAGCAAAACGGTGAGCTCGATCAGCTACGGAAATACTTTTAAGTTTTAGATTTGATCGGATTTTCACAAGTTTCGGATTTGATAAGTTCGGACGATTTGTTCAGCAAGCAATCTGCTCCGATTCGAATATTTGCTATCTCATTGAATCATGGTCGAGTACAGACACATCATGCGTACCATTCTTTTCGATATACTAAAAGAATCGTGATGCATGTTGATATTAAATAGTTCTCTTTCATGCATATGATGGATGAACTGATGACCTAATTTATCGGGAACCGTCACGTCACCACTTTCATTGAAATTTTTTGAGTATTGCATATTCCTTCGCTCTCGTACAAGTCGTTATCTGGAAATTACGAATATTGGAAGTTTAAATCGTTGTGCCGTGGCTTTGAAGTTTATACAGCTCGAAAATCGTGAATCATGCGATAAGGTGAAGTATGAACTTGAGGGTTTCCGTGAGATGGTGATCGTAGCAGCGAGAACAGATCTGTATTTGTGCATTCAGGGTTGAAATTTTTGCAGGGTTGAAAAGGTTTGCGCCATTTTGTCTGTACAATGGATCGGCTGCGAAACGATTTCCAAGAACGTTTCGCATATCAGAAGATGTTATACGAGCGAGTGGCGAAAGAACGACGGGAACTGTTCAAGGTCAGTTGATAATTTTGCTGGTCAATTCAATCGGCCATCCTTCAGAGACATGTTCTTATCGCAAATTCAGTCATTCGCTCACAATACTCCCTGAATCATTTGATCATCTCAACTGAGGCATCCTGTATGGGGATTTGAATAAGTTTCAAAGTTTTTGAAGGTACTAACTTCGAGACGCCTTGTCGCAACAACAGTCGGCGACAAGATTCGACGTCATGCAGCTCACGCAGCCATGGAACGACAAGGTCGGTTCCCACTCTTCAGACCACGTTTGTTTGCGTTTCTGGATTTCGATCCAAGATCGCGAAATATCTTCTCCAAAGCTTTATCACCTCAGTGATACTTTTACAGCAACAGCAATGTTCTCAATTGTCTCTGTGATTTCTTTGAAGTTCCCAATGCTATTATCAGAGGACCATTGTTTACGAAGGCTCCATATGTGACAGAATTGAAAACTACCTGTTAGATGAGAATCTATTTCTTAAGCTATACTTCACTAGCTCAGTTGTTCCTCATTGTGAGCAACGTACAACATCCAACACTTGTTCACTTCAGATCATTATTCGGTCCAATATGATTAGGAGTTGACGAATGAGTGGCAATTAAATTGCGAGTAATGCTTTTCTGCCATGATAATGGTTTTCGTGATAATAATCAATTGAATTTGATAGTTACTACTGGCAATGATCAATTGCATTTACACGATATTGTTGATTATTTTCGGAGTTTGTTCTTTTCACTTCGTTTGATTTGCACCGAGCCAACAATCTAATAAACATCCGAGATTTGCTTCAGAAAATCGAATGACGCCGTTTACGAGCTAATTACTTTCATTAGTAATTGGCANCCTTAAATACTCATTGTTGAGTATTTATTACGTATAAGAGAATATTTGGAAACAAGTATTCAGAACTCCTCTAAATCGCACATTCAACTGACAGATCCAACTGTGCGTAGTTTATGCGCTCACATTCAACAAATGTTGACGATAATGAAATTTTCGATGAAGTGAGCATGGAAACGTTAGATTATCCTTATCGTTATCCTGGTCGAGCGGTCGCTTGGTTACCTGAACGCATTACAGTGTTCAATGAGGAGGAGTGAGGGATGTAGCAGTTAAAAACACGAATAGGAAAGATCAAACCTTATTTCTTTAGCATTCAGCATTGATTATCCGAATCGTTATTGAGATATATATCATTCATTATTCACTAATTTTATCATAACATTGAAATTGAGTTTCTTGTTTTCTTCATCGAGATCTCATGTTGCTTCGATATGTCGTCAACATGTTTTGATGGGAATTCATGAGAGTCTCATGTGTTGAAATGAGAATTATGAGAGATTTCATCTGGCTGATACAGATATGAGAGTCTAGAAACTCTCAGAGTGAGCATTGTGATGCACATTCACCTGTCAGTGCTTTTATCCACCGAATTTATCGAATCCTTCCGACGAAATAGCCGATCGTGCTTGCAGCAAAGCTGTTGCCTTTTGTTTGCGAGTCGAAACTCGTTTCCATAAATAGTTATAACAGCCGTGCAGATAATATTATCAACAGTTTATTCTCATCAATACTATCAATATCAAGAGCACTCATCATTGTCATCGTCATTACCACAAATATCTTGGATTTTCAAGATAAGATCGCACTTCAATCACTTGCGATCAATTTGCTACAATGCAATCGATCACTTGTTTCACTACACCACAAGAATTTCTCGCATAATTTGATAGCATTGAGATGGAGGCAAGGTTATCTGCCTCGATCTTGAAGAAATATTTTAAGAGTGAATGAAGGGTGCTGAGGTAAAAGGAGCAAAAAGAAGAAAAATCAGAGGGCAGAAATGCATTTTTGCTATCAACACTTCAGTTAATGTAATGTTCTTCGTGCGGTCGTCGATTGCTATCCTGTTCTGAACTCAATTTGATGCTTCAATTTATCAGTGAGTCCGTCAGCACAGAGAAATTTGCTGTCTGAGTGTGATTTCGGAATATGTCCACATATTCCTCTTAATGGAAGCAATTTTCTCAGGAAACTAATTGAACGAGTGAGAAAGGGAAAAACACTGACAGAGTTGCCGAAGAGAAAATGTAGACATACATGGAAAAATAACATCCCTTTTAGAATTCAAGCGAAAGGTTGGGACGGTGGAATTCAGTAAGGAGTATGATTGAGGGTGATTAGTAGTTGGAATGAGAGTGCGACAAATTAAGTATCACTCATCGCTCAATTATTCGAAACCAGCCATATGAAAGTTAGTTATATTCGAAAACATCAACAACGTTTTTCGTTCGTTGACAAAAAGTGCAATATGGAATTGTTTTGCTTGATTGTAGTCTGGAAAAGGTGTGAAATTAATTGCCTTTTTTTGAGAATGCTTCAGAGAAGTTACGATAGAAAACATTGAGAAAAGAATAATTCCGATCTATGCAACAATCGCTTGAGAGAATCTGTTTCCCATTTCCAAGAAAATAGACGAACATTCAGACGAATCAATCAGTGCATTATTCATTCATTCTCAGAAGAATGTAATGGTAAGAAGTAGTGCAGAAACTGAAAAATGATCATTTGTCCCAATTGTGCTTTTGCTTTTTCGACTGTACATTTTACCGCAGTGAACCGTGGTTTTTAAACGTGAAAATGAGCATTTCATCAGAGAAGGAAGCACACNCGCAGTGAACCGTGGTTTTTAAACGTGAAAATGAGCATTTCATCAGAGAAGGAAGCACACCGGCTTGCGCGATACGTTGAAGTTTAACTTTTAAGCGGAAGTGATATCTAAGACAGCATTGTGTTGAGTTTTTGAAATTTTCACCGAATCAAATAACTGATTTTAAAAATTTGCTTTTCTTCTTGGATCGAGTTTATAATTGAAGAAGGTGAACGAATGAAGTGAATTGAGAAAATGAATGAAGTGATATCGATAATAAATGCGATTATGTGGTCACCAGAACCAATGAATATAATTAGTGACTAGTTGAAAGAGTCATCTCAACTCAATTTAGTTTGAACTTAATTTAGATTAGTTTCCTTGGTGATAAGTAAATCATTAACATTCAAACCAAACTGACCCATTCATACAAACTAGATAGTATAACCGAAGAAGACTAATCAAAAGCGATATGACTGAAATGAGATTAGTATTGTCATTAGATTATGACTGATATCGTCATTAATAAGATTAGTCGCTAATGGCCAAAAAAAGCAATGCAAAGTATCTGATGCTCATGATTTTCACAGCTTTCCACTAGCCTTTCAGATCGGCTTCGTTCAGAATCGGAGTCTCTAGCGCGTCAGAGTCACCTTCTAGATCGGCTCACTCCTACGATTCCACTTCTGTCTAGGACTCTAACTTAACGATGTTCCGTTGATGCACTCCGACGACCTCAGTGCTGTGGGTAATGCTGGTTTCCGTTCTGATGAGATAGCAGCATTTTGCAAATTCTGCGAATAGCCTCAAGTGCATTTAGTTTTCCGACTCGTTTTGCCAGTGTGCTGATGGAATTTCTTATCGAGTAATGTGCTGGCTGCTTCCGAGGGCTGGCATCTTTTAACTCTAGTCTTTAACATCATTTCTTTAGTGTTGATGAGTCTTATAGCAATCCAAAATATTAACATTATTTCTTATTGACGCAGTTGTACGAGTTCTCGTCAACATCTTAGGATCTTTATAATCACCCTTTGTTCAGCATCC